CAAGCCTGAGCATCCGCAGCTGGATGACTTTAAGCTGTGGCCAGAAGTAAGTCGTAGCATCTCCCTCTTCTTCGAGCAACGTGAAGGTTCGGAATGGCAGTTGACATGTCTGTCTGTGCCACCGAGCAATCGCGTGCTTACATCGGAATGTAGATAAGAACTCGAGGCTCAACAATGTTGGATGCAACGAAGGCAACAGTATCCTAGCACGAAGTGCTTCTGGCCTGAAGCCCGTCATGATTCAACGACCTCCCGTGTGATTTAACGACCTCCCGTGTGGGACGGAGTGCACAGCTGTTCTTGCCCTCGTCAGGTCCATTGGATTCAGGGACCCAGAAAGGACATAAGCATGAGCATGTTATAGGGATATCCATACCTTATTGGGCTTCCTTACAAGGGGTTGAAATGGAATATCACTAACCTAATTTTTGCTTATTTGCTTTCTTGGGGCCCTATGGAGTCCTATGGATCGGACGATCACAATACCACAATCTGTGCTTGTAAGTCTGCAGTCTGGCGGTTTTCGAATATTTAATTCAGGAGGTGGTCGAGAGTGCCTTGCTCGAAGCCAGGCATCACTGCAGTCGCAGGAGCCCTATTCCAGATGTCGCCCAAACTCTAGCTATCCTTCAATTTCACATGTGAGAAACATAATTTGAACCTGCATCTGCGTCTGTTGCGCTGAGACATGCCCAAAGCAGTGGTTTGCGCATTCCACTGTTCAAGCAGCCTAAGACGCGTACCCGGGCCTGCCTGAAGGCAAAACTTCTGTGCGCCAAAAGTTTCTGGGGATCTGTGTCGTTCTTCAGCAGGTCGCATGAAATTTGGAATCCGGAGGTCAGGAGTACAAGAAGACCTCTCCGAGACTGCTGTCTAACACTAATTTGAGAGGTTGCAATCCAGGATGGTCTGTTGGCTGCTCTTCGGCAAGGTCTTCACATGAGTACTTCGCATGAATAGGCCGAGACAGGCCAATCCCACAGCTCTGAGAAAGCCGAGGAGTCGCTCCACAGGCGCATCTGCGCTACGCTTCCTTCCGGTTTGTCGGGGTTTTGTTGCTCCATGACCGCAGCCCGAGCAAACAACAGCCAAACCGCCTCTCTGACTTGCATTGGCAGACTGGCTGACTAGCCATCCGTGAAAGGGCGCTGTCAAGCCGCGGTGCCTTGCGGTCTTTATACTTGACTTGCTACAGTCGCATAGTCTTTCCTTTCGTTGTCTCTGCTTCTCTTGTGTCACCGCGTGTCTCCTTCAAGCAATGATGTTAAAGGGGGAGGACGTTACACCGTGGGCCATGGGCAGCGCCGGACTCTTCATTTCTCCCTTCATCTTGATCCCAGCTGTTACACAGGCACAGCGATCCAGCAACGTGACACCATGCATCTCTGCCTGTCCTTCAGCCTCGCACCCAGAGTCTGACCAGCACGCTCAGAACCACAGCTGCTCGGTGTCTCGTCTTCTCGAGTCACAAGTGGGACCTTTGTCTCCACACCTCTTCACGTAGTCGATTCTGACGGCTCTTGACCTGCCGATCGTGTAGCCGCCGATCAACGCCGTGGCTTTCTTTGCTTTGGTCGTGGTTCCTGATCTGCAAGACTTCACTCAGTCACTGAACCTGGCTCTTGTCTGACCTGCATCGAATTCTTCGGGCACCTCCCCTATCACCCGTCTTCCGCCCCAAGTGGCCTCAAATTCTCGGTCTGCCCTGTATGTCTTTTCAACTGACTCTCTTTCCACGATGCACCGTCAAGTTGCCGCAGTACATAATTGCCAACAATCCGAATCGAAAGTTCTGGACCAAGGGTTGGACCGTAGGAACATGGACCGGAGCGTCGACATGGAAACCTCGAGGAGGCGACTCGGTAAAAGCCGGGTTCCAAAGCGACTCTGGCCACAGCCAAATTGGGGAACCCTCATACGAGGTAACTCGTATGTGTCCACTGGTGGACACTACTACCTGGGACATCAGTCTTAAGCTTTGGGAGATAAGAAAAGCTTCCGTATTAGCGGAGCAGACTGCTCAGTGCTCTTTCGAGGTGCCTAACAAACGCTAGATCGACGAAAGTAGTTGGAAGGTGGAGACCACTTGGAGAGCGCGCAGAGATCGAAGGTTTGTCACTAGCCAGCTCTGCCAGCCTTTGCCAGCGAAAGAGGAGGAACATGAGAAAGGCTAAAGCAATCTAGGAATCTAGGAGATGATGAGTTTTTTGGTATTCCTGGTCATGCAAAATGGCTGTGTCCCTCTATGACAGACTCTCCAGTCTTGTTAGAGGTTCTTTATCACCGCTGCTTGAGGCTTGGAACAGACACGCCCGGCTTCGTCCTTAAGGATTGGTGCGTTAATGTTCAAACAGACTACGACTCAGGATGGAAAGCTCTCCGGGTCTTCCATATTCCTTTACTATTGGATCTCGAATGTGCAGATGATATCTTTTGTCTTGCTACGCAAACAGCGCTTCCTGCGTGTTGTCCAGCACACCGATCATTCTCGACGACTTGTTCAGCATTTCGACACCTCCGGCTGCGCATAGACTGATCCAGCTCCAAAGCTGTCCGAATGTTCCAGGATTCCAGCAACTTCTTATCTTGGGCTATCTTTTCAGGCATCCAGGCTCACTGGAGCACCACGGTGATGCTTATGCCAACGAGGCTCTCAAAAGTACTTGCTACTTCCTTTGGGATTGAACTCTTTTTTCGCGGATATTCAGAACTCCTTCTGACCTACTTGCCCCAAAGTGTATAGTGGTACTGCCATCAGCAAATCTACGATGCATGAATGTGCTTGCCTTGTTTTGCAGCCTGACTTCTGGCTCACGGGCAAACAGATATGTCATGTGCTACATAAAAGCATTCCTGCAGGACCATTGCTGAAAGATTCAAAAGCGTCTTCCACACCTCATCGATAGGTGCATACAGGACTCATGGCTTTGGATCCACGGCGCAGGCTGCAGCTGCGTCCACAAAGTGCTTGACAGACCGCACGAGCCGTCCTTTTTGAGACGACAGTGTTAAAGTCTGGGGGCCGCAATTTGTGTGAAATCAAGGTTGTCTTCTGGGTTTGGCTCATCGCTTTTTGGTGCAGCTTGTTTAGTAACAATAGGACCGGGTGTGAGTGACGCTGAGTAACAGTTGGGAATCTTGTTCAGCACGGCTAGTGAAACTTGCGATCGCGGTGACTGTCTGTGACTGGTGGTGGCTGTGTCTCGAAGCTCACCGAGACAGAAAGTCATCAGGGCCGCCGCCCCCACCATGATTGGTGTGTGACATCCGACCTAAGGCCCTAAGTACCAACATGCTTGTCTTGTCTGCTACTGCAGGCCACAGGGACGCTTGACATGAGGGAGAGAGATCTGAATCTGGAAGTACCCAGCTGTGTCGGCTAAGCGAACGGTGGAGGCCAGGAAGCGCGCCGCTTTCCCATGGCCTGGGCGTGGCAAGGACTGCGTAATCATGTCATGCCTAAGGCTTCACGGCCTTTGCGTGCCGGATGGCGCCGATCACCTTTCCAGGCCATCTTCTGCAGCGCGACGACGCCCCGTACCAACGGCTGCAAACTCAGATGACTCCGAGTGCAATTCTTTTCAAATGCTGAACACGTGCCGAACATGGGTCCCCACGGTGGAGCTTTCCAAGGCTTCCATTGGAACGGCAGAGGTCGCGTGGGGGAAGGTGCACATGGCAAAATAGGATGTGGTGTCTGATAAGACCAATAGCTTACCACAAAGCCTGCCAGCGTCAGGGCCGTCCCATGATGGAGCCCATGGGAATGCTGCGACAAAGCAGTGCTCCAAGCCTCGTGCGCCAATGCATGGAAGCCGTTGACAGCAGCCCTTGTAAGAATCGCCCGGTCCCTTAATGAATGTGGCTGTCTTCGAAGAACTGGTCTTGCTGCCAGGTACCCGGTGGATATGGAGGCAGGTTCACTGGACAACTTGTGCAGCTGTTATCCTGGCTTGGCATCAGAAGATATCAGAACATGTATCCCTGCTGCAGGCTTCGAGCCCTACCAGAGGCTCTCAAAGGTGTATGACTCAAACGATGTAACGCGTGTTCTGCAGAATGAAGATAGCTTGTGAGAGTGCCGTGTTCCTGCGCTCCGCCTGGTGTCCCATTTCCCCGAGTCGATGTTCGTTTGGCACCCAGCGCACATGACCTCAAGAAAGTCAGGCCAGTTACGACGTCAGCCGAAGCCCAGGAATGAGGCACATGGGATGAGGTGAATGTCTCGTCTGGCTAATGAAACTTGCCATTGCAGGCGATCTGCATCAGCCTCTAACTTGAACTTCACACGTCCTACCGCCGCTCCGTCGATGCCACAGCAGCCAGCCCAGTGATGGTGAACTGGTAACGAGGTCTGTGTAGCTGGAGGTGTCGCACTGAGTTATGTCAAGGTGTTTTTGTGCAAGTTGATTCTACAAAATCCATTGAGGTTTGTGCACGTCGGCCTCTTCTGGTTCAGGAAGAGGTATTCTGACATAT